AAATTATGTATGCTCAATAGAATTCACTATGGTATTGTTTATACCAGTTGACTATCTTTAATACAAAAATCTGATGTCCAAAATACTCAAAACTCTGAAACTTTTTGCATAGCAACATGACACCACAAATGGAAATTTTCACATTTGAAATCATATGATAAATAACAGCCAAAATGCAGCCACATGAAAAGTATTGTTAAACTATCTGTAGCCTATATGTGAGAAGATGTATATGAAAATAAATTTGCATTTAGATTTACATGTAATTTCTAAGATATTTCATTATGTGTCTGCTATTACAAAATCCATAAAATCTAAAACCCAAAATATTTTTGGTCCCAGGCATTTTGATTAAAGGATACTCATAATAACAAAGTTTAGAAATGATTCAAATATTCATAAATTCTGGTGAACTACCGAACACAGTTACATACAACTATTAAAAGAAATGAAGAGGATCCCTTAACACTAATCCCCATTATGTACAGTTAGGATAAAAAAAATCAAGACAGTTAGTAAAGGTTATGCTATGTTATCTTTTGGGCAACATGGAACAGGATACAGTATGGCATACACATATTTCCTTGCACTTTCAAATATAGAAAACTATAAACTTGCCTGCATATTAGATACATAGCATCACAATAGAATAAATACTATATCAAATGATTTTAACAGTATTTTGACTGTATACTGATATATATTCTAAAAAGTAAACAGCAGCTATAAAATATCAACTCATTCAGTGGTTTTATAGGTAAATATTTATCATAAAGAACACTAATATTATTTATGTTATTATACATAATATATATTATATTACTATAATATATTAATATGTTTATATTAAATAACATTAATGTTATCGTAAATAATAAAGAACATTAATAAATATTAATGTTATTTAGTATAAATAATAAATAAGTTTATAAAAAATAACACTATCATTATTTATTATAAATATATTATATAATAATAAATAAAGCAAATAAGTGATTAGATTACTATTAATAGGAAATAGGTTTTCACCATGAGAGAAAAAAATCAAAGAAGTCAATAACCTTGTACTGTTATATTTGAACTTGAATATCAACATACATTCATTTTTTTCTTTTTAAAAGGTACATATACATTTTAAGTAGGCCGAGGATATAGCTTAGCAGTACAAGCATCTGTCTGGCAAGTGCAAGGTTGTGAGTTTGATTCCCAATATCAAAAATAAAAAAAGTATATGTATACATTTTTAGTTCTCCACACTAAAAAGAATAAACCACTAGAAACTAACAGTCCAATAGCCAACAGTACCCGGGTTGTGGTCTCAGGACCAGAGTTCCTTGGAGAAATGTTAGAGATGTTTTTTTCAGTTAGTTGTTTCCCTTGCTGTGCAGGTACTTCTTAACTTGATGCAGTACCATTTGTTGGTTCTGTTTGGTCTTCCATGTTACAAGACAGAAGAGAGAGAGACAGAGAGAAACAGGAGAGGAGAGGAGAGGAGAGGAGAGGAGAGGAGAGGAGAGGAGAGGAGAGGAGAGGAGAGGAGAGGAAAGAGAGCAGAAGAGAAATTATTGAAGGCATGAAGGGGCTGCTGAAGAGATGCAAGCACCCTCTGGAAGCTTCAGGAAAGAACTGCAAGCCTTATTTGGAATCTGACAGGGGCGGAGCTAAAGGGGCGGGCAGAATGACGTATTGACAGCTGATTGGAAGAACATTTGCGTTGTGCAGAAAGCTGGTGTGTTCCTGAGAAGACCGCAGGGAGACGCTGTCCAGCACCAAAGGGAGGTGCTTTCCAGGAAAAAGCCATCAGGTTCTTGCTATCATTTCCTGTGGTCCTATTCAGAAAGTTTTGCCTGTGTCTATGGCTTCATATGTTTCCCCTATATTTTCTTCAGTTTCAAAGTTCCAGATGTTATATCTGGGTCTCTGATACATTTTGAAATGATTTGCGTACAAGACTGATTTGTAGAATTTTAAATCAGGTATTATGATGCTTTGCGCCTTGCTCTTTTTGCTTAGGATTACTTTGGCTATGCAGGATCTTTGTGTTTCCACATGAATTTTAGGGTTGTTTTTCCTAGTTCTGCGAGGAATGTCATTGGAATTTTTAAAGAACTGCATGGAATCTGTATATAATTTTTGGCAATATGGTCATTTAAATAAAATTAAATCTGTCCACCCATAAACACCCAAGATTTCTCTACTTTCTAGTATCTTCTTCAATTTTTCTCTTCAACGTTCTATAAGTTTCTTTGTAGGGGTCTTTCACCACCTCTGTTAAGTTGATTCCTAGATTTTTTTTTAAAGCTATTGCAAATATAATTGTTTTCCAATTTTCTTTCTCAGATAATTCACTACTGATGTCAAGAAAAGTAACTAATTTTTTAAAATGTTGCTTTTGTATCCTACTGCTTTTCTGAGACTATCAGCTCTAAAAGTCTGTTTTGTGGGGTTTTAGGTTAAGTATAGGACCGTATCACTTGAAAGTAAGAGTGACTTAGCTTCTTTCTTTTCTGTTTGTATCCATTTTATTTCTTTTTCTTGCCTAATTATTCTAGCTAAAAGTCACTGTATTGAATAGGAGTACTAAAAAGTAATATATTGAATAGAATGCTAAGTGATCCTTGTTTTGTTTCTGATTTTAGAAAAAATACATTGTTTTTTTTTTCTAGTAAGAATGATGTTGGCTGTGAGTTTGTGCTATATGTCCTTTACTATATTAAGACATGATTCTTCATAACCTAGTTTCTTCGAAGCTTGTATCACGAAGCAATATTGAATTTTTCTGCATCAATTGAGATGACCATGTGATTTTAATCCTTGATTCTATTTATGTGGTTTCTTAAATTTATTGATTTGTGTATGTTGAACCCTCCTTCATCCCTTGTGTAAAACCAACTTGATCATGGTGTTTGATCCTTTTAATGTGTTGCTGAATTAGGTTTGCAAGTGTTCTATTAAAGACACTTTTCTTCTATGCTCATTAAGGATATGGATCCATGGGGGGGTTGTTTATTGGTTATGTCATTAGTTAGTTTTGCTATAAAGTCTATTTTATTTTTTTAAAAATTTATTGGTATATTTTAGATATTCCATAATAATTATATTCATCACAGGAATGAATTATAATGAATACTTTGATTCCTCTTTTTTCCCAATAGCTTTTTGCTCCTTCAAATCCTCTTCCCCTATTTTCAAAGTTTTGTTTCCATTTTATTCTTTTTAAATATTGTTTCCTTTTCCCTTCCTTCCTCTTTCCCTTCTTCTTCCCTAGTTCTTCTTTACTTTTTAATCATTTCTCCCCATTTCACAGTATCTGTTTTACATTTTAGCCCTTATTTACTCTTTAAATTTCTCACACCAAGGAGACAATGCAATAAAGTCAGTTCTATTTTTAAAGGTCAGCATAATTGTCTTCCAAGAAGAAAGGTGGACTAGAAGTACCACTTGTAGACCTGAGTCTCATTTTCTTTCCTCTTTTACAGCTTCCCAGGAAAGAAAGTTAGTTTCTTGTAGCAATGACCATCATTTTCAGTGTTTTTTTTTTTAAAGAGAAGAAAATACAAAAATGCTCTTTTGATTTCCTTTCATCCTGCAATCCTTGATAAGGTCATTTGAAAATCTTGACACCCTCCTTTTGACCTGACCTAGAGAGGCAAAGATAAAACTCCTAGCTAGGGTCAAAAGGATAAGGCAGCAGGACTTCTCTGTTTTTCAAACACCAAAAATTTGTTTAATGAGTTTCCAGTCACAATGGAAACTTATTCTCCTGTATGAGGCTCAGGGTCCATACTGGCCTCCATCCAGGTTGGAACTTCAGTACAGTTATCAAGTCTGCAGCCATTGAAAAGAAAACTGCCGTCCTCTGTGAAGTTGGGGAAAGAGACAGTAGCAGGATAGCAGAAGTCGAGTTCAGGCTAATGTAAGGCAAAGGAATGAGCATAATGGCCTGGCAAGGTCTCACCCACCTAAAGGCACTCTCTCATTTCTGGGGTCCAGGCATCCCTCTCAGCATCCAGAGCACCAACCTTGACCTCTGCTCTTCCCTTCCCATCTCTGCTGTCCAGTCTATCTTGAAGGGTGTTCAACTCTTTAATGACTCTCAAACCCTGCACCTCTCTCATGTCATCAATCTTCTACTTTATTATGATTCCCATTGCTCCTCTCTTGCCTCCGTTCATCGCCACCTCCATTCATTTCCCCATCTTGCAGCTAAAAACAAAATTTGCTTTCAACTCTTCACTAAAAGATCTCCAACTTTCACTATACCACTATTCTTTACCAAAATAGCTTGAGCATATGGCCTAAAATTCATAGCACAGCTGATAAGCCCTTCCAGATCTGGTCTCTGTTCCTTCCTCTATATTACTCTTAATCTGCTCTTGCTGTCTGTCTGTCTGTACCCTTCTTTCCACATTATCATTGTACACAGTTCTCCTGCCACACTGAACTACTTACAGTGCTAAAAATATATACTATCTCTTGCCACAGGACCTTGGCATGTACTATCTTTGTGACCCACCTAGTCCCCTATATCCTTTAGGTTTGTTGCTTCCATCTTCCATGTGCAAAGCACCACCTCTAATGAGTCATTCATCACTGCTCTTGCCTTTACCTACCTCCATTTCCATCCATACTGCTATGAGATGCTGTTTGTGTCTCCCTTTGTGCTTATATCTATCTTCATAGCACTGAATCATGGCTTCCTGTCCTCCATCTCCCTCATCAGGCTATAAGCTCTTGTAATTGTAGGGCTGTATCAGTTTCTTTCCATCACTGCATTCCCACTAACTGATGTGGAGCATAAGCACTGCTCAGTCTTCTTGTTAAATGAATGAGTGGATGAATTCACATTTGCAACTTCAACAGTGAACAGAGTATTGACTCTTCCAATGTCTGCCTGAACTGAGAATGGGCTAACATGTGTTACTTTTAATAATCATGATGCTGCCGCCCCCTAACAGCTGCATGCTGGAATTCAGCCTGTCCTCCCATTCCACACTTACCTGGGTGAATCAGACAGGAGTCACACTCGTTCTCCTCATTCCTGCAGCAAGGGATGGTGTAACCCACGACTTCTTTCTTGCCAGGGCAGACACATTCAATCTGATCATATTCACAACACTCCCGACACATGATGTTCCACTCGGCTCCAGGGCAGGCTTCATTAATGACTGTGTATTCTGCAATGGAAAGCCGGCAGGTGAGGACAGGTCCTGGTTGGAGAGATAAGTCCTGAAAATCCTTCACTGTTAGAGATCAACCTTGCCCTACAAATGTGTTGCCCTACCTGAGAGAGAAGAACCATGGGAATTCTTCAGAGTACTATGCTTCCAAAGTGGGGTGGCCTACCCCACAAGGTATTTAAAAACCATCCATTGGATCACAGATGAAATATGTCATAGCTGCTATGTGCCTTATTTTAACCTTCAAAGAGTCATGTATTTTCTAGGCTGGGGATCTAGCTTACCAGAGACTCTGGGTTTGAGGTCCAACATTGCCAAACTAAATAAATATGTTTCAGCAATACGAATCTAGGTGGATTTGCAGTAGTGCATGTACATAATTAGTAAACAAATCCAAATCTTTAGGTTCCACATTCAGTTCATCTCTCTATCTCTATCTCATCTCTATACCTCTGTCTTTTTTTCTCTGACTCCTAGTACTGAAGATTAAAACCAGGACCCCATGCATGCCAGACAAGTACTCTACCACTGAGCTACATCAACAGATCTCATTTCTATGGTTTCTATTTTTGTTGTGATCTGGTTCACTAATTATAATTGTTTAGACTGTACACTGCAGACCTATGCAGTGCAACCTAATCTTGGGGGTCATCAAAAAACTTTGGAGACCACTCTCTAGTCAAAGCTATTCTAGTACAAGACTGATCACTAAGTGGAGAACAAGCTACTGCTTCTCAATTGGATCCTCAAGTTTGCAGCATGACATTTTCAGAGTATTTTTAAACGTAAAACCAACACAAAAGACAAAAAGTATCTTAATTAGTATGTTGGGAGAATTTCAATGTTGTTCAAGGGTGAACTCATTAGCCCAACTTTATTCAGTCCCCAAATATAATCAAGAGTTCTTTCCCATGAAGACAAACTGTCCCTCTCTAAGAACTTCTTCCTTTCATATATACCTTAAGTAAAAAGAACACCATATGGTAAAGTATGTAAGAGGAATTAGTCAGAGGCTACTTACGCAGAGGAACTCAGACTGAGAGACAGACCTACTAGTTTTGCATACTTCTTATGTTTTTCTCATTCTCTAGTTTTGAAAACCTTGCACAAAATGATGGCTAACATAGAAATGGGTCAGATATTTGAGAAAGTCTGGGCAAGGTCCCATGAAGCCTTCCCTAAAAACTCCAGGCAAGCATTCCTGACATGCTTCATTGGCCCACTGAATCCAATTCCAGCATGTGTGGTACCTTCTTAACCTTTGACTTTCATAGTGAAGCTATATTTTTTTCCCCTGCATTTGGAAATCTGACACAGGGTTTATTTTCATGTGCTGAATTGAGCCATTTGAATAACTATCACCACTAATTCTTCACATAGGTCCATTGGCACATTCTAATATCATGGAAAAGAGCCATTTTCATAGTCATAATAGTTTCTTAAATTTGATACATTAAGTTTTATGAAAATGTTACTTTCTTTTATCCTTTTGTAGAACTATTGGGTACCAGTAAAGATACAAACATGGGCATTAGATTGGTATAGATCATCAGAACATGGTCACTATGGCAGGTTTTGCTTTCCCTCTGCTGTATAAGCTCCTTTCAGAAGGCTTCAGCTGACCTTCCCGGGCCTTTGTTGGTAACTGATGAAGGAACTGACTTCTAAAATCTAGATGAAAGCTGAATGAATACAATTTAGGGAAAGCAGGATAACACACGGGCTAATCTCTGTGATCTTGGATTTGGCAATGAGCCTTTAGTCGAGATACCAAAAGCATACACAACAAGAGAAAAATAAATTGGACTTCATCAAAATTAAAAACATTTTTTTCATCAAAGGATGTTATCAAGAGAGCAAATAATCCATAAAATGGAAGAAAATATCAAGTATTTCACAAGAGTTAAACATCCCAGAATGTATTCTTAAAACTCCTACAGCTTGACACAAAGAGATAAGCCAATTTAAAAATGGGCAAAAGAGTTGATGGGGGGCTTGGAATTTAGCTCAGTAGCATAAGCGCCATGAGTTCGATCCCCAGTACCGAAAGAGAGAGAGAGACAGAGACAGAGACAGAGACAGAGACAGAGAGAGAGTTGAATGGATATTTCTCCAAAACAAACAAACATACAAATGGTCAAAAGATATGCAATATCATCTATGAAAAGCAATGAAAACCACAATAAGATACCACTCATTGGATGGCTAACATCCAAGCCAAAAAATACAATAAAAAATAAAAAAGGAAAACAAGTGTTGGCAAAGATATAGACAAATGGGAACATTTCTAGGTTGCTGATAAGAAAGCAAAGTCATGTATCTGCCTTGGAAAATTGCTTGGCAGTTTCCCTAAAAGCTAAACATGCAATTAGTACATGACCCAGCTGCTCTGGGTCTTGATATACCCCTTTGAAAAACTGAAACCAGGACTCAAAGATATGCTTACATCAGTGATCACTCGTAACAGTCAATGGTGAAAACAACCCAAGTGTCCTGTAAGAGACTGATAAACAAAATGAGTGGTGTATAGAGTAGAATATTTTTCAGCCGTTAAAAGGAGCAAAGTGTTGAAACATGAGAGAACATAGAGGAACTTCGAAAACATTAGGCAGAAAGACATACACTGAAGAACAAATGCTGTCTGATTCTACTCACATGGAATATCTACAGTAGGCAAATTCAAAGAGATGGAGACTCAGCAGATTAGAGTACCAAAAGCTGGGGGATGGGTGAAAGAGATATAATCGCTTAATGGATACAGACTTTGTATGGGATGATAGAAAAGATTTGGAAATAGTGATGTGATGATTGCACAACAAGTTGAATGCAATTAATACTACTGAATTGTACATAAAATGGATGAAATGAGAAATTTTACATACACACATAATTTTTATTGTTTGTTTGTAACAAAATCTTGCTATTTAGTTCAGGCTGAGCTCAACATGTAGTCCAGGCTGGCTTCAAACTCACAGCTGTCCATCTGCCTCAACCACCTGAGTACTGGTGTTACAGGCATGTGCCACCACACTCAGCTCACACATACCATTTTTTACTGTTACAAAGGTGGGGTGAGGAAATGCAAGAAGTGGTTAAAGGCTCAAGCACTGAAATCAAAACAACATTTGGAACCCGAACCTTGCTAACTTCTGGGAGCATGTTGTTGACTACTATTTTACTTTCTCAGACTCAGTTTATCATCCAGAAAATAAGTAGTTTCTCTAACTATTGTTGAAAGGACTGGATAAGATAATGTTTATAAAAACTTGAGCATAGTGCCTGGCATACAATAAGCATTCAATAACCAATAGTTTAAAAAGAAAAACAGTACAGGACATCCATACTTCTTAAAGCATGCATTACATTGGTTTCTTATTTAAAATATTCAGATTGCCTCCCACTGCATTGGGAATAAACTTTAAATGGGTTACAGGACCTTAGGGAGCCCGCTCCATCCTTATCCCTCCAACTTTTTTTTGGCCACTCTTTTCCACCTTCTGTCAGTTTCTCAAAACCAGAAAACTCTTGCCCACTGAAAGGCCTCTACACTTGCTTTAGCTATGGCTTCTGTCTCACCATTCAGATTCAGTATAATATGACACCTGCCCAGAAAGGACTTTACTGACTTTCTCATCTGAAACGCACTCCCCACACTCCTGGCCATGGTCTCTCCTTTATTACTATCCTGTTTACTGTCTTTCAACTCTTATCACAGTTTGTAATTGATGGTGAATCTTGATTAGCAGCAAGATTGGCTCAAGAGCCATCTGCAGGATTAGTAAAGCAACTCTAGTGTTTAGGGGTACAAGAGGTGTGATCTTGGGAACTGTGTCTTGTCCTTGGACCCTTTTTCCCTGGAGGTCTTCCCATAGGTTGTGTTTCTCAGCTACCATAAGGGAACCACTTTGCCTCATCATCCCCTTCTACCATGATGTTTCTGCCTCAGAGTCAACCTAGCATGGACTGGACCTTCTGAAACCATAAGTCAAATTAAACCTCTATTCCTTTCAGTTACAGATGTCAGGCATTTTGGCCATGTAGCAGGAAAGTTGACCAATACAATGATTATTTTCTATTTTTATTTAGAATTGGTCTTCTATATCTGCAGGTTCTGCACCCACAGAGTCAGTTAATTTCAGGTCAAAAATACTTTTTTTTCACAAAATTGTGCCCATACTAAACACAAATAGATTTTTTGCTTATCATCACTTCCAATTAATTTAACAACTGACTATGTGGTATTTATATTGTATTAATTATAAGCAATTTAAAGATGACTTGAAGTATATGTGAACATGTACACAAGTTATATGCAAATATTGGAACACTTTATAATAGGGATTGTATATAAGCAAATTTTCATATTCTCAGGGAGTCCTGGAACCAATTCCCCATGAATACTGATAGAAGGCTGTGCTTGCTTATTATTTGTCTCTCTTAAATGAATGTAAGTCAGTAAGAACTGTAGCCAACTTATTCATTGCTGCCATAGCAGGGCTTGGTATAAGAGGTGCTAAATAATTTGTCGAATGAATTTGAACTTGACCCTAAAGCTGCCTTCCCTCAACAGTCAAAGATTTCCTCTATTTGGTCCAGCTTGGAGCTATGAGCCAGGAAAATTGGATTTGTCCCTAATTCATTTGTATCAGTGCTAGGATACTTTCGTTCCTATAAGGAACTATAAGCCCAGATCCCTGGTCTGGGAGTATATTTTTCACTTCAGATACAGCCTAATACAGTCATATATTTTCTCTGCAAATATGCCCAGATATTAACCCTCTCTTCTACTCATACTGGGGAAAGCGCTTCTTCTCTCCATGTTTTCTAAGAATTAATAAATGTTAATAACTCCTGGAAAGAAGTCATTACAGCATCAAATTAATCTGTAACTTCTATAAGACTTTGTACTTGAACATAGAAACCAGGTAAGGTTTGTTCCACTCTAGGAGCTTCCAAATAGTGTTCCTCCCCATTTAGAAGATTTGGTTGCCTCCAGC